TTCAGACGCCGCTATTGAGATGTATGCACATTTTGTTCAAGTGCGTGCTGTTCGGGGTCAATCTTTAAGCTCACACTATGAGCTGGCTGAACAAGTTGATCAAGTTGACAGCCCGACTACAATAATGTGTAATGATTTTAATGCCATAATGGGGAGACATTCATCCGCAACTCCTTACGATATGTACCGAGGTGGGTCCACGAACAATCCGTATGGCAACACCGCGTCCAGTTCAAGGGGAAGGCATTCATCTTCAAATTTCTTTGACCATATGGAGATGTCATCGACGCAACCATCTGTGCAGTTTCCATTTGACACGATGGCTTCAAGCTCCACGGGGAGGCATTCGAAACCTCCTATGCATACCATAATGATCGAGTTCTTCGCGATCGATGCCAATTCTACCGAGTTTTTTGGAGTTACCCACAGTGCGTTAATGCTGCCAAATACTGCAACCTGTGGTCCAGATCGACGGGACTTTCTTGTATGGAAAATACAAGCAAGTTTTTTATTGGCAGTTGTCCAAGATGGTAATCGCAACATTCTTCCAGTTGCTTTTGCTCTTGTCGAAGGAGAAGATACAGATTCTTGGGCTTTTTTCCTCCGAAATTTACGTGCACATGTTATCACGAGGGAAAAAATATGTGTCATTTCAGATCACGGAGCTGGGATCAAAGCAGCAATGGAGTCTTTGGGTCCAATGTGGCAACCACCCTTTGTCCAACTTAGGTATTGTCTCCGACACATTGTTGCGAACTATCATGGAAGGTACAAGAAGAATGATGAGCATCAATTAATTGTACGCATGGGTAAGTGAAAGCAAGTTAGTAAGTTATATATTTTTTGATCATTTTAATTTTGCAAAGAAAACAAGTTTGTAAGTTATACATTTTTTGATCAGGTTACGAACTACTTCCTCGAACGTTTGAATCAATGCTTCAAGATTTATGGGCGAAGAACGAGGAAGGATACGATTACATCAGCCTCATTGATAAAGAAATGTAGACGAACGCATATGATTGTGGATATCGATATGGACACATGACGACCAACTTGGCTGAGGCAATCAATTCAACCTTAAAGGGTGCACGTCACTTACCTGTAGCGGCTTTGGTAAAAACTACATATTTTCGTTTGGGGGTGCTTTTTGCGAAGCTCGAGGGACAAGCTCAAACCTGGATGCAAGGCGGTCATGTCTATCACCCTAGATTAGTTGCAGATCTACAGAAAAAAATTGATGCATCAAATGGAATGTCTGTAACAAGCTTCTCTAGAAGTCATGAAATGTTTCGTGTCACAGAGTTGCCGCGACCTCTTCAAGGGATTGAAGTTGTATCTTTAAGAGTAAATCTAAGGGACAGAACGTGCGACTGCGAGTTTTTTCAAGCTCTGAAGTATCCATGCTCTCATGTGATAGCAGCTTGCTCGCATACACGTCAAGACTATAACCATTTTATGGATCCCGTATACCTACTATATGAAGTTTTTAAGGTATACGAATTTGAGTTTCCCCCCATAGGTAATGACAAAGACCCTGATGAGGTTCAAGATTGGCTCCGATTGTACCAAATCCGAGTTTATTGAGGGAGCGTGGTCGTCCAAAATCCAATCGAATTCATTGCGATATGGATATTCGAGAAAGATCTAGACAAGACAAAAGATGTGGTCATTGTAGAAACCCAGGACACACTAGAAAAACATGTCCACTTCTATTGTCATCAAGTAACAATAGATGAGGAAATGATGTATTTGTTTATCAAATAATAATTCTTGTATTTTAATTTGCATTTACTTCAAGTTAATGTCATTCGATAATCACCGATGAAGATTAAAAAAACGAACACAATCATTAAATTTTATCAAACTAATACCAATTTAACAAAATTAAATGGTAATAAACAAAATTAACTGAAATATATTAAAAAAAAGTCCAACAAATTTAACAAAATAAAGTAAGTATTAAATGAGAAATAATAAAAAATTACAATTAAACAAAATAAAGTAAACACAAATATAATAAAAAAATCTATCGATGCTTGCGTCACGAATGTGTTCCGCAGGGCGGTGGCTGTCGGTCTCGAGGAGGATTTCTTCGTATCACTTGTTCTGACTCCTCACTGTCATCATCGTCGTCGTCGTCGTCATCATCGTCATCGTCGTCCTGAGCAGGTATATTAGGTTGATGAGGAGCTGATGACGATGAAGCACCTCCATAGAATAAGGACCCTGGAGGTGTATGACTGACTATCCCACCGGCCTGCGGGAACTGGGAAAACCCAAACATCGCTGAGTGTGAAAACTGTACAGGAGGTGTCTGTACTGCGGCCATGGGTGATGAGCCTGAACCCGCCAAATATCCAGCATATGAACACCAAGTCGGATCTGCAAACATAGACCCATAATAGCCACAAGGAGGGGTCATCTGTGACGGTGGCGGGGTCATAAAACTAGGTGAAGGCGGCGGCGGCATCTGGTAATGGAAAGATGATGGTGGCATCATATATGGTTGCGGTGGCTACTGAGAAGGTCATGCTGGTGCAGCTGAGGATGAATCGGAAGCACCTGCTCTCCGTCCACGAGTCGGGGGACGATGGTGTAGTGTCGGTGAACGTCTCTATCGACGTCGTGGAAAGGTTTGCCCTCATGCATCCTCGGGAAGTAGAAACAGTTTCCCGTTATTGTTGAACCACTCATAATAATCCTCAACATACATCAAGAGGTCATCAAAAATGGGCTCTCTACGGGGAAGGCGCCGATGTCGATCCTCCCACAACACGACCCATCCATGATGCCTCACCAGCTAATCTATATCTGTCTTGCCGCGTCTATCTAAGCTATGCAACTCGTCCATATTGCGAGGTGCTTCCGGAATTGGTTGAAAACAACCAAACTGCCGGAGCACTCGATCAGTGGAGTGCCACTCGACGGTCGCATAACATATCAGAGAGACCATCGCCATCCAAACATCTGATTGACCCCTCAACTCAGGTGGGATCACCGCCCTCACATCATCAGTAGAATATGGCACCCATTCAAACTAAAACAAATAATATATAATTTTTATCAAAATAATAATCTAATTATATAACTATAATCTAAAATCGGTTTTTAAACATTAAAATTCATACCTGTGTGCCAGCCTTCTGATCGATTAGCACCCTAATTTTTTCTAAATCATCAGGTAGCTCCTGATAATTTTTCCTATCAGTAGATCACCTATTCAAGGAAAAAAAAATTTATACGCTGTATAAAATTATTAATATACAAAATCAGTTTTATAATTACCTCAGAAGTAGTGGAAATACGAATGGGTTCTTCACAACGGGACATAAAAAGAGCAATCGATACCATGCCCAAGACTGCAGCAGCAGGAGACATCCGCCGATAGCATTACGCCTGTAGTCAGTGGCTCCACACATCTCCCTGTACAACAAAGCCAAAACTGTCGAGCCCCAACTGAGTGATCCGGCGAGACGAAAGTCGCTAAGATGTCGCAACCACATGCAGTGAACTAGGTTGCGCGATTTGTCCGGCATCAGCAACCCTCCTATCAGCTGCAGTATGCATGCCCGTGCATACATCTTAACCTCATCCTCAGAAGCGTCTGCGCTCAACTCCCGAAAATTGGCATCTAACCAATTTAACGGTATCTTACCTCCGATAAAATTTTCCGGGACACGTTCTAGACTATCCCGACACAAAGTAGTCCAAGAACTAGAAGCTATCCCCGATATCACATCTTCATCCACCGGAAGCCCCAGGTGCATAGAAACATCCTCAAGCGTGATCGTGCACTCTCCGCACGGAAGATGAAATGTGTGGGTCTCCAGCCTCCACCGCTCTACTAAGGCAAAAATCAGGTCTGGCTCTATCTTACAATGACCCTGATATCTACCTATGTAACCGAATCCAGCCTCTACTAAATACGGCAAGACAAAGTTGGGTATCACTAACTTAAGATTCCTAATAAAAGGATCTAATACACAGTCCTTCTCCTAAAAATAAATAATTACAAAAATTAATTCTTAATCTAATAATCATGCATTAAATAAATCAACTAATTATTACTAAAAATTTAAATTAAATTAAAACGTTAAAATGTTACTGTATCGGCAAAGTGTGGAGATATTTAATTCTTAATATAATAATCATGCATTAAATACATCAACTAATTATTACTAATAATTTAAATTAAATTAAAACGTTAAAATATTACCGTATCAGCAAAGTGTCGAGATATTTAATTCTTAATCTAATAATCATGCATTAAATAAATCAACTAAATATTACTAATAATTTAAATTAAATTAAAACGTTAAAATGTTACCGTATCAGCAAAGTGTAGAGATATATGATTTTCATCAAAGCGAAGTAGACTGCCTTCCATTATATATCTGCAAAAGAATTATATTAGTAAAATATTAAATAAAGTAAAATACTTAAATAAATTATATACATAATAGTAAAAATATTATAAAATATACCTTAAAAAGAGAGAGTATTTGAGAGAAATTTAGAGAATTTGATAGAATTTAGTGTGATAAAAGTGATAGAGGATGGGGGTATTTATAGGAAGGATTGGGGTGTGGAGCGGGTATTTAGGGGTATAGCGCGCCCCCTGTATCGCGCTATACCCCACGTGTTAGATACTTAGGTATAGCGCGGATCAGGGAACATGCTATACCCACATGACGTCAAATTACCGTATATCGCGGGACAGGAGACGCGCTATACCCACGTGACACCAAATCAGCGTATAACGCGATTCAGGAGGCGTGCTTTAATGCTACTGATATTAGATCTAAAAATATAATCTGATTGGTATTAGATCGATAAATATACTTATAATTGATTTATTGGGAAAAACGCCAACAGAAATACCCCACTTTTCAATTACGGTCATCTACACTGAAAATCCTTCCAAAATTCATCGAAATCCCGAAAACACCCCCTAAAAATTACTATCAAATTTTCCTCCTCTTTCTCTTAAGTCTACCTTTTGCACTTTCGCTTTATCAAATTCTCCATTGCTTGCCCTAGTTCTCTCTTTCGTAAATCCAATAGCAAATCGACTGATTACCGGGAAAATCAAGAGAGAAAGAATCCCAGCTGATATATGGAGAGGATCGTCGGAGAGAAGTACAAACTAGGTCGCAAAATCGGAAGTGGATCATTCGGTGAAATCTTTCTCGGTAACTTTTCTTCTTTTGGTCTATTTCCTCTGTGATTATGTTAATTCACCTCAATTTATCAATTTAATTTATGTTTATGTTTTTCGTTTTGGTTTTGATTTGTTTCAGCTACTCATATTGACACGGGTGAAACTGTTGCGGTAAAGATTGTAAGTCTTCACTTAGAAAATTGTTAGCAAGTTCTGGTTTTTGTTTATTTTCTTCACTATAAATGTTTTAAAAGAATGCTTTCAGCTGCGATATTAATGTTTGAGTAGGATGCTGACATGTGTAACACAATTTATATGATTTTGTATTTAAAAAAAAAATTGGCTAATATGAGTGGTGAAATTGAAATTAGTCAAGTATTTTGATGAATTTGTAAAATTGATCATGCAGCTTGATTTTATGCTTGAATAACAGCTTGAAGGTTTTAACATGTGTAACACAATTTTATAATAAAAAGGTACTTTCTGAAGAGAAATTGAATCGATATAAGTATAACATAATGAAATTTAAATTTTGTGTTGGTGTCAGGAAAACAGGCAGACAAAGCATCCTCAATTGTTATATGAAGCCAAGTTGTATAATATTCTTCGAGGAGGAAGTGAGTAAAACATTTTGGTAGTTTTATGATGAGAATGCAAACTTTTGTATAAATGTTTTTTTCAGATTTGTTAATGCAATTGGGATTTGCACAAATTCATTCATTTTTAGGTGGCATTGCTCATATAAAATGGTGTGGAGTAAATGGAGAAGATAATGTGCTTGTTCTTGACTTGCTGGGACCGAGCCTGGAAGACTTGTTTGTCTACTGTGGGAGAAAATTTTCATTGAAAACAGTCTTAATGTTGGCTGATCAAATGGTAACTGGATAAAGAATTTGCAAATAAGAGTTGTCAATATAATTTTGCAAATTAACTGGCATTGCTCATATTGGAGAGTTTTCACTGAAAATGCTTTGCTAATTTTCTTTCGAGTTTTTATTTGCTTAATGTTCTGTGTGAACATTTTTTTCTTTTGATGAGTTGTAGATTGCCAGAATAGAATTTATGCATGCTAAGGGATTTCTACATAGAGACATTAAACCAGATAATTTCCTTATGGGGCTTGGCAGGAAAGCAAATCAGGTAAATGTCTTCGATGCTTGATTGCATAAATGATAGTTCTCTTATTTCTGCTTTATTTATTTTCTGTAACCACCCCCCCCCCCCGAAAAAAAAAATCAGGTCTACATCATTGACTTTGGTCTTGCCAAGAGATATCGTGATCCCAACACAAATCGACATATTCCTTACAGGTAGTATTTCAATTACCAAGTTTTTGTTTAATATCTGGTTGGCTTTCCATTTTAACATGATCAGACAACTTTACTTGATGATGTTATTTTTCTGGTCCATTTTAATTTCTATGTTTGAGCCTGTAAAGAATTTCAGTTTTTGAAAAATGTTCGTTTGCTTGATCCATTTACTAGTACCTTTTGTTTTCTTTATTTGTCCCTGACTAAGTACTCGTCTTTTTTTATAACCCATACAGGGAGAATAAAAATTTAACAGGAACTGCACGTTATGCTAGTTGTAATACTCATCTTGGAATTGGTAAGAATAATTGCTTCATTTTTCTTTTTCATGTTCTTTTTAATATGCGGCAGAGCTCTGAAGGTGTCTTGATTTTCTCTTTAATCTCCACAGAGCAAAGCCGTCGGGATGATTTGGAATCACTTGGCTATGTTCTTTTGTATTTCTTGAGAGGAAGGTGTGCCCCAATTCAACTGTCATTCCTCTTCTGTGATTCAAGTGCATTAGGGGTTGTAGTTGCACTTGTAAGAGCTGAGGTTTTGCTTTAATATGTAGACCTAATTCATTGTGATGAATTCTATATTCAAATGTTATTTAGCACTGCACTTCGAACTATACAAGTCTGATTTCATTAGTTTCTGCATTTAGCCTTCCTTGGCAAGGTCTAAAGGCTGCCACAAAGAAGCAGAAGTACGATAAAATATGCGAGAAGAAGGTATCAACCCCAATAGAGGTATTTCCTTCTTAGATATATCCCTTGCACGAAAGAAATTGGTTTGAGCTTCAGTTTTTCATGTTCAATAAAAAATTGTTGAGCATCATTCAATGCTTACCTATCATTTCTTTCATGTTCAAAAGGTTTTGTGCAAGTCGCACCCTGTGGAGTTTGCATCGTACTTTCATTATTGCCACTCTTTAAAATTTGATCAGAGGCCTGATTATGGATTCTTGAAGCGTCTGTTTCGGGATTTGTTTAGCCGAGAAGGTAATCGACTACTTAAGTTCACCATTTTCCTCAGTTTCTTCCATTTAAGTTGCATGGCTGGGTTGCTATATTGACAATTAATAATGTTTGATAAACCTAGAATCTAAACCAAGTATATTTTATGGTCCTTTATGGCAGCGATGGCAACATCAAATTGATATTTGTATTTAATGGTTTCCAACTTCCTTGTATTCTGTGGCAGGTTATGAGTTTGATTTCATATTTGATTGGACAATTCTAAAGTACCAGCAGACTCAAAGGACAAAGACAAATCCTCAATCATCTGTTAGTATTTTTAATGCCTTTTTGTTATTATTTTTGTTTTCTTTTGTTCTGTCAATTAAAGACTTGCATCTCATGAATTTTTTTGGCCCAAGTACTCTATTACATTTTTAACCAAAAATGGATCAAGAGTAATTTGTTTGTAGTTGCATGAATCAGTTCGGAGGCTGATTATTTTCTAGTCGGTTTCTTACTCAGTCTTATGTGGTTATACTTGACTCACTTGATTTTTTCCCAGGATTTGCAGCCTTTTTCTGGAACAAGAAACAACCAAGCAATGACTATGGATAAGCTTAAAGGTAAGTGCTCCAAGAATTTGCTCATAATTTTCAACAATATTTTAAGATTTTTTATTTATAGTTGTTTCCATTTTACAAAGCATGGGCATTTCTACTGTACTTCCCATCTTTCATAGTTTCTAGTTAGTTACTTCTTTTGCAATACGTTTTTCTTTTAATTTTTTAAACTCATTTTGGAATGCCTTTTATAGAACACAACTTACCTTGTTTTTGAATTACAGGAATCAAGGATGCTTCTTATTCAGGTGAAGTTATCGAACACAGAGGACCAAGTAACCCCGGTCGTCCAGATGTTCGTATGCAGTTTAGACCATCGGTTAGTCAAAATATGAATGACAAGCATGTAAGTTGCCCGATGAAGTGTGCTATATTGTATTTCATGTATGCTTATAAACTTCCTGTTTAAATATAGAGAAGGAAGTGAATTGAAATTAATGTGGCATGCTTTAGAGTTTGGTCCTCGTCATTTCTGTTTATTAGTTTTATTAGTATGATATAACTTTGCCATTAGTCGGTGAATTTAAAACAACTGCTGTTGTTTCAGATGGAAAGCAGCACAGCAATGCCATCCGCTTCATTTGCTCTTCCTGGTGCCTTGAAAAAGATTCTATCCAAAGCAGAGGGGCCAACTGAAGCTGCAAATAATGGCCCTGGAGTTGGGAACAAGACTGGTGCTTCAAGCAGCTGGATGCCATCATTTCATAGAATATCTTCAACCAAATGATTGGTATGGGAAGGCATCTTTAGAAAATCACTCGTTTTGTTATAAACCATTTTGAATGAATTTCTACTTTCTAGTAAGTGAATGGATATACTCTATATGCATGGCTAATCTTTTGTTGTGATTTTGGTTTTGGATTTTAGGGAGCCCAGAGCTCGTGTTTCGAGTATCATGAAGTTTGGATACCTCAAGATCTTGCTGAGAGATGGCTGATCCTATCTATGATTTTGATGAGGTGACCATGAGATAGCAAATATTTGGGATTGTGCTGGAGTGTGGTGCATCAGAGCCTGATTTTTTTTTCTGCATGCATGGGGACAATGGTTAAGCCAGTTTCGTGTTTAATTGTTCAATGGATGATGTGTAAAGTGTTTTCTCCATTCTTCTGTTAGTAGATGATAAAGTTTCATTTGTGTGATACAGTTGTTTTGACCTTGTATCTCATTTAATTCAGGATGCATTTGCTTTCTTTTCTCATTACTTCATAAATTTGGATCAAAGACCTGGATGTTTTACCTGGATCAATTTGAATCTAGGTGCCCGTGTTCACCAGAATCTGAAAAAGTACTGTAATTTAGAGTTTCAGGTATTGTATTATCTTGTAAGTTTTGGGGATTCTGTTAATTATCATTGCTTACATAACCATACATTTAGCTTTAGTTTTATTTGCTTGACTTTATACATTTGTCTCTAATTTGCCAGCGCATGTTAGAAGAGTTTAATTGATCATTAGCAGTCACTGCCAATAATGAAGTGATACGAAGATATTTTTGTATCTCGGAGGTTTATACCTTAGTTGCTTGGGGTAATTACGTCATTTTGGCTTTTCTAGTCATGAATAACACCCCTTCGTAGCCATTACTTTTTGTTTTCATCGAAACTTCCAAAGCCATTACTTTTTGTTGATCTTTTGGGCTCCATGTTCATTACCTTAGTGTTAAATATGATTGTTAAAGAATTGCTCAACTATGTTCTATTTTTTCCAGATAGATAAGGATGTTTTCAATGAGATTGTTTTCCAGTTTCTTACCCATGGCTTTTTATGCCTATGTTCTATTTTTTCCAGATAGATGAGGATGTTTTCAATGAGATTGTTTTCCAGTTTCTTACCCATGGCTTTTTATGCTGGTGTCAATATGCCCGTAATCATTTTATTTTGTTGTTACAGGTAGAGTGAATGAAAGAGCCATGACCAACAGTATAGGTGAAGCTGGCAAGGTGGGTCGAATAACAGGGTAGCAATGCTCACCTTCGATTCAACTTAGGTGCTGTGGAAGTCCAACTATCATTTAGTAATAGCTTAGTGGTTTAAACTCGAAATCAAGAAGCTTTGAACTGAGTTTTACCCTCTCTTGGTTATCATCATTCATGCATTATTAAGAAAGAGTTAAGATAAAATTGCCACTTCTTGTCTCATCTCGTCTTGAATGCGTGGAACACGCTTCAATCTTGGCGGTTTAAAAAGGTAATGGAGGCAATAGATTGTTATTCATTTTTTATTCTGTGGTCAACATTGTCAGGAAATGACCCAGTAGTAACCCCTCCTCGGACATCATAGATAAAAGGCACTGCTTGTCTCTTGCCAATGCATCGAAGACATTTTTGGCAAATGACCCGATAGTATCCGATCCTTGAACACCATAGATAAAATCACTTGTCATCTCTTGTGATGCCTATAAATTGGAAAATGATCCGATTGTAGCATTACAAAAATGGCGAGGCATTAGAAGATGTTTCGGTTTAAAGTTTTTATCCGAAGACCCAGTCTTTTGGACAGCAACATTGTGTCCTGATGGTAGCCCTTAAACATCATAAATTGGGTGTATGAGATAGCATCGAAATTCCCATTTGAAATCTTTTTTAGCCATTAATAACATATACTTTTGCAGACTCAAATGATTAAATTTGTGACTTTTCAGACAAAATGACACCCTCTTTAACAATTGGCGATGCATTTTGAGAAATGATTTTAACTCTTGAATTAGATTCCTTGATTCCAAGTCACACAATTTTAAGAAGAAAATGTTACATTAAACTTTTATTAATATTTATTTTATTTTGTATAATCTATATGGTAAAACGAGATTCCTGAAAAAGCAAATCAAATCTCATGAATTGCAAATGGCGGAGCATGGGAGTTTTACACAGCGTCTATTTTTCCAGCGAAGCGCACGGTTTTCCACCACGTTACCGACCAAAAATTATCGAGTACATGAAAGTGAGTGCAAGGGATAAATACGTAAATGCATAAAATATGTAAAAAGGGGAAAAAAAAGGAAACGAAAGGCAGGCGAAGAAAGTTAGAAGATACCTCTCTTCTCTTTCACGTGATATTCTGAGGAAGGGGCGTATCTAGGCCTACCTAGGCCATGGCCCCCATTATGCCCAAAAAGGGTAAATTATTTTTTAAGCCACTTATCTATTATTTAGTTTCTATTTTGGTCACCTAATTATTATTTATTTTAATTCACACTTAACGTTATGTTTTAGTCTCTCATCTTTAAAAAAATTAACGAAAATATTGATATATTATCATAAGATAATGTTATGTAACGGCTGAAATATTTTTAATTAAAAGAATATCATGTTAACATCATTGTTATTTTTTTAACGGTAAGTGATCAATATATATATATATATATATATATATATATATATATATATATATATATATATATATAAATTCTTTTAGAAAATATTTTTATTAGGTTTATATTAACCTAACTCATAAAATTTTTCACTGTTCTGAAATGACTGTCTTATCCCTTAACCTCCAATGCATTTGGTGGCAAAAACAACAACAACAACAACAACAACAAAACCCAATTCCCATATGTATGGGTAAGGGGGAGGTAGGGTAGTAGGCTGCTCCCAACGCCAGGTTGAGAGTAGCTTCCGTGGAATGACCTCCGGCAGTCAGAAAATTAAAAATATAGATAAAATGCAGTGCATATATAAAAAATACATAGCTAAACAATATTCATATGCAGTCATTAAAATCATATGTGCGTCTGTAACGGGAATTAATCCCTGTATAATAATCCCTGCGAAAGAATCTCTGCATATAGACAGAAACATAAGACCCGGCTAAATTTAAAAGAGGAAACATTAAGAGAATGATACACAGAAGTCAACGATAGCAAGCGCAGTTCTAATCCTTCATAAATACCAATAACAGAAACATATAAAAAGTAGAAGTCATGGAAAATACTACAAAGACATTAAAAGAAGACAGAGATGATACACCCTATAGATGTGACCCACACAACTCGACTACCCTTGTCTTTAGCCTCCATAATTTCCTATCAGAGGTCATGTCTTCGGTAAGGGCTAAATCCCTCAAATCAGATCTCAAGCAGTCTTCCCACTTCCGCCTTGGTCGTCCTTTCCTTCTGGCACCGTCGACTGTAATCGATTCTACCCTCCTGACCGCATCCGACGGTAGTCGTCTAAGGACATGCCCAAACCACCGTAGTCTTCCCTCCCTCAATTTTTCGGAAACAGACACCACCCCCAAGGACATCCTAATAGCCGAGTTAGTCGTCATATCCCATAGAGTCCTACCACATGTCCATCGAAGCATTCTCATTTCTGCGGCCTCAATCCTCTTTACGTGATCCTTCTTGGTTGCCCAACATTCTGATCCATACAACAGTGCTGGTCTTATTGCCATTCTATAAAATTTTCCCTTAAGTTTTAGAGGCACCTTCTCGTCACACAGAACTCCAGTAGCGGCCCTCCACTTTAGCCATCCCGCCTTTATACGGTGTGTAACGTCATCATCTACACCCCCATCTTTATGTATCATAGACCCTAGATACTTGAAACAATCTTTTGAGGGGAGAACGTGTCCTTCTATGCATACTTCTACATCTTCATCGTTTTGGTTCCCATTGAAGTTTGAACATAAATACTCTGTCTTTTCAATATTGATCCTTAAACCTTTTTCTTCCAAAGCAGTCTTCCAGGTAGCCAGTCTACTATTCAACTCAGATTTTGTTTCAGCAACTAGGACAATGTCGTCAGCGAAAAGCATACACCAAGATACACCGTCTGGTGTCGCACAGTAGATGTCGTCCATAATCAAGGCGAAGATGTAAGGGCTAAGAGCCGACCCCTGGTGGAGTCCGATTTCCACCGGGAATGCCTCGGAGTCGCCAACTGTAGTCCTGACGTAAGTAGTAGATCTACAGTACATATCACGAATCGCCCGGATATAAGCAGTTGGGATCCGTCTCGTTTCCAAAGTCTTCATACGATGTACTTGAGCCAGCAGGGAAAAGAAAACGCACGGTTAAAAAAGTCGTTAACGACAATACCCATGAAAAGTTGAAACTCTGCTCTTAACCAAACCATTTTCTGCTCTTCATCATTTGCTATTATTTTAACACATGAAACAGAGGAGAGATTTGATCAGATCAGGAATAGCACATCAACAAAGAATTCAAATCTGAAAAAAAAAATTAGAAACCAATAATGGCCACTGACACCAAACCGAATTTAGCTAAGGTGAAGAACAGCGGCCAAGATGGTTCTTCAAAGCCAAAACTTGATGCCTCCATCAACAAGAAGAAGATCGAAAGCTCCACCAAACAGCTTGTTGATGCTAAGCAAAAATCTGTCGTAACTAAAACAGAGGTACCCATCTCCAATTTCCTTGTTAAACTTCTTTTTTTTTGATTTGTTGATTGTTTCTCTATTTAATGATCTGGGTTTCCTTTTTCGTTACAGTGAATCGCTAGTTTCTATGTTCGATTTGCTTACCTGTTGTGAATCTAATGGAGGATTGATTGGTCAATCAATTTAATGAATCTTTGATGAATTGTTAGATTTGGCAGTTTTGTATATTTTCTCCCTAAAATTGTATGAAATTGGTCTGTTTCTTCATTGATTTTGAAGGTAAAATCGAAAAAAAGTTCGAGTTCATCAAAAACCACGTCGACTACAAAAGCTAAAGTTAGGGAGAAGAAGGTTTACACTTTGGCAGGCCAGAAACATGATCCTCCTGAAGAGGTTTTCTTTATACAATCTCTATCTCTGCGTTTCTTCAGAAACTTGTCTATGATAATTGAGTTTTACGTCTTCTTTTTTTCCCCTTTGGGCAGAGAGAACCGTTGCGAATATTTTACGAGTCTTTGTCTAAACAAATACCTACAAGTGAAATGGCAGAATTTTGGTGAGGATTCCTTCTTGTAACAATACTTACCTCTTGCATATATATATATATATATAGTGTTATAGAAGCCTCTAACCTTGAGTGACCTCAAGGGTAAAAAGGAGTGTTGTTCTCCTTAGAGTACCTAGGTTCGACCAACTTCGTTTACTATCTTGTAATCACCCAAACAGTTTTATTCTGCCACCGTCGCTTATACCAACATTTCTCCATCTCTTCTAAGATACTAGTTCTTTTCTCCATGGCCTGATAGCGTTAGTAAGTATCGTGCAGGGCATTCACCCTTCTTATTCTAAGGGTTTAGTC